TAGGAATTGTTTTACAAGTTCTCTCAACTTTTAGTTTAAGTCATATATTTTACAGGTAATTATTTTAAGGGTACTCCAACAAATATGCCAGTTTTTTGATTTATTACCATATTGCGCAATAGAAAGTAATAAACAGAAAGCTGGAAGCACAAAATTAATCTTTTTGTGAAGAGTAAAGAAATTAAGGCTAATAGTATCGTAATATAATGAGATTGTTAATATAACTACAAGCGTCTCTGCGCATAACAACTTATATTTTACATATATAAAAAGTGGGACATTCTTAAATCAAAATATAGTGTTGATTTTAAGTTATTTATGTAAGAATATAATTCTTACATTGTCTTCTAAAACCCTTTTAATAAACTCTCATCGGAAAATTTTATAAATGCAAAAGTTTGTATTAGTATGTAAAGGTATACACTCTTGCATACTAAAACGGCAGGATTGATTGGAAGAAATATTGTACATTTAGATGAAAATAGAGTACATATGTATGCACTTTTTTTAACGTTGGGAAAGGCATTTATGCACGAGGTGTGGGACTCACCGGCAAAGCCAGTACTACCCACTAAAACCCAACAAAACCTTCCCCCGTCTTAATGGGGCGTCGCAGGATTGCTTACGCATTTAACTACGACGCCCCGACGGCAGGTCTGCCGAAGCAGACCACAACAACCATGGGGTTGCTCCAAGGTCCACTCTGCTATCAGAGAAGTACCAGGAGCAACCCGCATGGTACACCGCCCACCGAAGTAGGCCACCTCCCTGTGTGTTTCTTGACTTCGCGCCCGGCTGGATTGCCGGGCACTGCTGAGCCTCCCCACCACGACGAGGAGAACGCACGTTGAGGTGGGACATATGTATGCATGACTGGCGTGACACATACGTAACTGTTATGTACCCAAGCGAAGCAAGGCTAATTTGCTAGTGTAGAATAATATTAATACTAGTAATTAAATATGTAAGAAAAAGTGAATTATTAGAAATTACTTTATCACGATAAGATATCTTTGTGCTGATCACAAGAACTAAGAAGTAATAATAAAAAATAATAAATTTCTGTATTGACATAAATTTATACATACAAAAATGATATTGATTTCCCTGGCCCCTGCGCTTGTTAAAAACTGTGTTGCAAGAGCCAAAACTTACAAGAAGTAAGTTTTATGTAATGTGTATTATATACATATCAAGTGCTTCTACACATTTTTATACAATTTCCTTACAAATTATTCTCTTCCGTTCCTTAGTCGTCATTGCAACACAAGTCACACTTTCGTTAAAACTTAAATCTGATACAGATACCGCAAAGTTAATAATTCTAGATAGATATACAATAGGGACATATCAAAGAATTCAAAGGGTTTACAGTGAGAGCGCTATATAGGATATCGGCTCCGCTTAGTTGGGTTAGAAAGCAAGTGAAACCGATACGGGCCAACGTCTTTATTCACTTAATAGCTTTATTTTCATTTAGGTATTAGGTTTATATGAGTGTTTTAGTAAAAAAGTTACCAAGATCAAGTTGATTTTGCTAAAAGAAATGCATAAACAATCAATAATTAAATCAATACGTCATTAGTTTATCTTAGCAGGTATGTTCACGTTTTAAATTTTTGATAGTTATGTTTTTATATACATTTTTTTACATGATAAATTTGCTTAAATTGGTAATGTGATATTTAAAAGGTAAGCGTATTTTTAAATGAATAGATTGCTTTTTAAAATGTTGATAAGTAGTTTTCCCGCATCCGTCCACGTATTTCATTTATATAATATAACTCTATCTTTATAAATTATAGCCTATGTGTTACTTGATGTATGAGCTATATTACTATAAAGTTTTATGAAAATGCATCTAGTAATTTTTGAGTGAAAGAGTAACAAGCATACATCCTCACAAACTTTTTGTCTTTATATTTTATTTATGCGGTGGTACGTGCCCTAGGTATATAAATTTTAAATAAATAAAACAAATTTATTGCGAGTGTACCTTAGAAGATAGACATGTTATAGCCGACTTTTCTTTAGGCCTCTGTGTAAAGCACATAGATATTCGGACATATATACAAACAGGCAAAGAGACAAAAATTTCAATACACAACACGTACACAATACGTAAAAGTCATTGTTTCTAAAAAATATTTCATTTACAAATTTCGCTTTGTTACTATTTTATTATACCTATAGGTACTAGCGACTGACCCTTGTTTCACTCGGGTGTATCCCTAGGAACATTTTAGTTTTTTTGAACGGTACCCTAAATCTTTTTCATTGAAAATGATTATTTTGATTTTTTCTCAATATATTTTTTATTCTATTCAATATATTATGTAATATTTTCTAAGTCTTTCTTGGGATACACTGTCCAAGGAATCCTAAAACGGGCAGTGAAAGTCTACTTCATTGTTTTAAGTCTTTCAATGATATGTCAAGAAGATAAAAATATGTCTCCGTTCTATTCTTACTTGGAAACAGTATATGCTTGGTTTTAGTTTGTATAACACGTAGTAACGCTATATTCATTATTTGAAATCGAATAGCACATATATTTAATTTGGACGCAACAGATTTTATTTTTACTATCCACAATTCTATCTGTATTTGATGCTATGTTTCTTTGTTAAATTTAAAAGTAACTCTGTGTAACCTTTTCACGCTTAAGCCTCTGAACAGATTTCGATAAAATTTGGCAAACATATAGATTGCATCTCGGGATGGACGGAGTGAAGGATGGACGCGAGTGAAGCCACGACCAAAAACTAGATTCGTAGAATGTAGTATGTTTAAATGAATAAATATATAATGTCGTTATTATATATATTATGTTAATTTTTATTTAAAACAAACACACACTTTAACAAGTACATTGAACTTATAAAACTACACTTTACAAAATAATTCTTAGCAAAATTGTATTCATAATAAGCTTTATCATTATGCAATTATTATTGGGCAAAGGAATTTCTTTTTTTGACCTTTTATTTTTTGTTCTTTTTCCATGCTTATTCCTTTATAGATATATAATTTGTGCTATAATAGCAATGACATATAATGCTCAAAGCGAAATCGTACTTCAAAGGTCGTACATAATGCCCTGATTATTGATTATTTCAAATGTCTAATAATAGGTATGTTTAGTTGAACTAGTTTCATTTTGTCTATAAAAGTCATGATGCTCATATTTTTACGTACGTTTTTATTGAGATACACTTGTTAAATTGTTTTACTGATTTATTCGACTTTTTTAATGTTTAAACTTTGGGAAGTAGTTATTGAATTACCAGTTAGATTCATATGATCGTGCTTGGTCCTCTTTCATGTTAAAATGACTTAACGGATTAGGATGAAAAGTAAATAAATAGATTGACCTGGAATAACACAGACTACTGTGTAGTGAAGGAAGAATAATTCTCTCGGGGCTTAAAACACTCTATTAAAAAAAAATTAGAAACATTACATAAATTTCATAATATATTTTGCCTATTTATACGATATTTTTAAGACCATTGTTCCGTGATAATCGATTTATAAAAATATCTTCGTCAATATTGCGGGTAATAATCGGGCATGTAATGACAGCTGCCACTCGTGATGATACGCTCCTACCATTATACCACTCACCATGACATGATATTTTCGAAAAGGTAACATAAAATTTCTATTGTCTTATTCACTAGCTAAATAATATTCATGTTTATAGCTAATTGTATTGTTTATTTCAGTATTAGATAGTATTCTTAATATTTGTATTGAAATCATTAAGTAATCGAAATTACATGGATGACACATAATGTTTATCGAGTAGTACTTTTGCATACTTTATTTTATATATTTACTAGCAGAACCCACGGCTTCGCTCGCGCTAAAACTACAAAAAGAACTAAAAAGATAGGTTTCATACAAACTTTCATCGCCTATTTTACCCCCTTATGGGATGAATTTGGAAAAAAGTTAAACACGTATTTATTTAATTGTATTGAAGAGCATTAATACCAAGTTTCAAGTAATTCTGATCAAAATATTTTTTGGGTTGTATTATAACGTGTTTTCCCGTGGGAATGAAATAATCTCCCGCGATAAAAAGTAGCCTATGTCACTCTCCTGCCCTCCAACTATCTTTACACAAAAAAATCATGCCAATCGGCCAATCCGTTTCGACATGAAAGAAGGACGAACAAACAAACACACTTTCACATTTATAATATTAGTAAAGTATGGATTGCAAACGTACCAAATAATTGAAATATTAGAATTAATAATCATTTTGAAAATTAATTCTAAATTTTTTTGATATTGCACACATTTGGTCATTCTGGGAGTACGTAAGTTTTATGTAAAGTTTAGTTATTGTGTAGATTTAATTTTATTAAACATAGCTTATATAAAATATAAAAAAAGCTTTCTGAAAATTTCATGAGGGTTTTCCAAGGTATTCCATTAATAATTTAATATTAAGTAAGGTTTCATAACCAACATAAATGATGAAAGGCTTCGATTTTCGCTTTCCTCAAGAACATAGTGTGTGCTATGTATAGACCTTTCTTATGTCGATATGTAGAGTATATTTAACATCGCTACAAATGGTACGCGCGTCCACTTAGGTACCAAACGAGTAGCCAGCTGAACGCTTTAGTTGCACCAATTGAAAGTGTAAATAAACATTGTACACGATATTACTATTTTAAGAATTAGAATTGTTATACATATTGAATAGTGTATATATATTTATTAGTTATTGAATATTAATTTAAAATTATGTTATTATATATATTCATTTAGTGTATACTCGTACTTGTTTGATTTTGAAAAACTTATGGAATATAATTTTTTTAATCGTTCATGTGTCAAATTATAGGGTTTCCTTCGGCTCCGCTTGGACAAGAAAGAAAGAGTGCAGTTAAACGTACAAGTCAAAATGCGGTGATTGCACACACTATACAGTGTTTTAAGTGTCAATAACTAAGTGCTGAAGTGTTTATGTAAACCAGATCATCATGTTTATTTTAAAGGTGAGATTACAATATTTTTTACAAATATTCAAACCTAATGTAACATTAAGTAATAAGATTCTTAACAAAATAATAACAAAAAGAATAATTTTTTTTATAGATAACAATTTTTTTTTCAATCTATACTAATGTTATAAAAAGAAAAAAAATGTGTTTTTGCTTGTAATGGATGAACTAAAAATCCCCTGAACCGATTTAGATGAAGTTTAGTGTGAAGATAGTTTGAGTCCCTGGGAAGGACATAAGTTTTTATCCCGGAAATCATCCTTTAAGGGGGTAAAAAGGAGGATGAAAGTTTGTATGGGGAAACGATCATTTCTCGTGTAAGGAATATAAAACTCATCATACCTATGTATATACTAATATATATAGTCTATCTATTCCATACTAACCGTTAAAACGTATCTAGGGATGAACCCGAGCGAAGCGAGGGTGAGTCGCTACTCGCTAGTATAAAATATATACGTATTTACAAAAATAAGATTTCAATGCATTTTGAAAGTAACGTATTTATTTATTATGCATGAAATAACAAGCGCCTTTTAAAGGTTTTTATGTCAGCTGGTTATTAAACAAGATAATAATTTAAACATTATTTAACGTAGCGATTTTCAAATGAGAATAAGGGATTAAGTTTTACCGAAATTAAATTCGTAAATAAAATAATAAATTTGCAATAATTAAAAAGTTATAATATGAGATGATTAAAAGGAACTAATTATAATTGAGTGAAGCGTAGAGTAATTAAGCGAATTACAATTTTGGGGTCAATTTTTGAGCATTACATTGGAAAATAACGGTTTGGCATAATCTTCTCATATCTCTAAAACTAATAGTTTTGAAGCTTCCATTTTTGTTCTATTATAAAATAGAACATGGCCTTATTTATAGCAGAAAAAGTTAAAGAAGTAGTAATATATATAGTACTGAATTTATATATTTTTGAATATTTCGATTCCGAGAGATTCGATTCTTTTGAGTCCAACTCCGACATTATCTATACAGATAAATAAAATTGAAGTGTCTGTTTGTAATGTCAAAATAACAGCGTTTTACTAAATGTATATGAAATTATATATGGTACCTATACGAAAAACACATTTTTTTAAATTTTTGTCTGTCTGTTTGTTCCGGATAAACATTCTTTGAAAGGGCTGGACTGATTTTGACGGAACTTTCACTGGAAGATAGCTGATGTTATAGGGTGTAACATATACTACTTTTATTTTAGAAAATGAATTAGGTTTCCGCTCAAAAAAAGTAAAACGTATTACGAAATTACATTAAAGGAAATAATCAAAACAGTTAATAAAATCTATATGGAATATACATATGTATATTAAATCCATGTGTATTTATAGATATTAATTTAAAATTTATATTCAAATTATTCTATTTATTTAATTGCATTAAAATGTTATATAAAAATCACTGTGTTTTAGTTTTATTTTATCGGTTAATTATATGTGTCTGTCGTAACACTGCAACACACAGGCAAAATTATATTACGTCTTAAATGTAGTCCACATTTTTTTTAATTAAGTAATACATTCCTTACATCTCAAACTTTGAATACTAATCAGAGAGCTGTAAAATTAAATTTGAAATGGTTAAAGGAAATAGAAAATGGTAATTGTTTACAAGAATGGATGCGTGAAATTTATTATGTTTAAATAAATGAATTTATATCATTGTCTTATGATGGTTATCTAGTAGAGTGGCACTGAATGTATAGAAGATATTATGAGTTTCTTTCAATAGAGAAATTTTCAAGAAAGAATTTTTATATCGCACAGAGGATCAACTTGATCTATGTTTGATGAAGTGTCGGGTAAAACTCAATTTTCCGACAAAAACGTGTTTAAAACAAATTGAATCATAAAATGCGAGATTCTTTATAGAGTGTTTTCAGTACATTTTCTATAATACGTACTGTTCTATACATTAAATTACAAAAGATAAATTCATGTAGCACTTTCACAAGTATTTTTTCTTTTTATAAACGGAATTACTTTATTTTCTTTTCTCTCCAAAGTTAATTCAAAAATACAAAATTCAATTGTAATCGCAAAATTATGTAAGAAAAACATACAGATTCTCACTAATATCACAAATGAGGAACAATCCATTATAATACAAGTAGAAATTATGCGGTATAGATAAATACATATTTATTTTAGTAGCCAGGATAATTTTAACAGAACTGAGTTTGAGGCTTGTATTTGTATAACTTACCTATGCCATACTTACCAGAACCTCGTAAAAGCCAGTAAAAATCCTGTACATATTAAAATCGGATGAGCTGTTCAATCTTCATTACGTGAGAGTCCTTTTTATATACCAGATTATACATATTTATAATCCGGTATATAAAAGGACTCCGGAACTAAGAAAAAGGAAATCCGGTATATAGAAAGCTCGATTATCAGTGAGAGCCCCGTTAAGTTCAGCCGTTCCGGAGGTTAGCGGGTACATCAAATCACAAATTTATTTATTGTTTTAGTTTCGTTATCATTTTATTGAGGCTTCATACGGAGTTGTTATTTTACAACAACATATATTTTAATTTTAATTAAAAGGATAATAATAATAAAAAGTTACTTTAAAATATTCCGTTTCATCATCTGTTTGGTATATTTGAAATATAATAAATTAAGCATTAAGATTGTTCGACATATACATCACGAAGAATTGCTTCATTAAGTGCGGTTGATTTTGAATTTATTTTTTCTTATGTTTCTTAAACAGAAATTAACAAATCTTTGCTCTATTTACCACAACTCATATGAAAAATGAAATCTTTACAAATAAGATAAATCGTCTGTTCTTTGTTACCTTTTGTCAAGTTAATTATACTATTACAAATTAGTATTCATTTTAGTGCTTGTGTTTTGTTTTCCATCATTTTTGAACATTTATTTAACGATGGGGAATACCTAGTGCTTTCTTTGTAATGGACTTCAAAGTAGGAGGAATACGCCGTAATTAAATCTGGTGTATATTTTTCTTGTTGTAAAACATACTATGTCACGCGATATCTTCGTCCATTACAATTTGGATTCCTTATTTAATTTCAAGGGTGTAAAGTAATAAATATATGTTGGGATATTAAAATACAGTACCACCTAGTTCCTTGTCAGCTACGAGGCTTATGTTATGGATACCAGATAGTTGATACACTACACATATATAACTTTAAATACAAACATATTATAAATATAAACACCCATGACTGGAGTACAAACGTTCATGCTAGTCACATAAATGAATACCCCCTGCGGGACTCGAGCTCGGGACCGCTGACACAGCAAGTATCACTACACAACAGCAAGGGGCACTACAAATAGAGTCAACCGTATCGTCAAATCATAATAAATGATGTCTTCCCGACCGATTCCGGCCACGGCGGCCAATCTCATTGAGACTAGCCAACTGCGCAGGAGATATAATAGTGCACAAGTGTACGCGCAGACACAAGTGCACTCTCTATTCCTGTTACTCTCATACTCCGGTGGGACGACCACTCGACACGACCGGTGAGAGTTAAGGCGCAGGACCGACTGCTTTACGTGCTCTCCGAGGCACGGGGGTGAAACACCGCGAACTCCCCAACTCGGTTGTCGGGTTGTTACTGAGGCTTAATATACAGAAAGACTCAATAACTAAACTTGGCCCGACCCGTGACTCGAACCCAGGTCCTTCGGGTGTGCAGCCGTACATGCTAGCCACTACACCACCGAGGCAGTTAATTTCGAGGCAGTTCATAATAAATATATAATATATAAATAATAAAAATTATATTAGTTAATTTCCGGACCATAGAGTTATTCGCAATAATACTGAAATAAAAATTTAAAATAATGGGACAGGTATTTTAAAGAGCTGGAAGTCTGTTATTGTCTTAAAACAAATCTTAATATCAGATATACACATTTATGCTTAGCTTTAGAACTAGAATTACAATCTTGTCACATAAAAGTTACATAAATTATATTTCATTTATTTACATTATATGTACTTTAATATTTTACATAAATAGACAATTCAAAGTACAATCACTTTGTATTGGTCTCTAAACACATTTTTTTTATGCTTAGATTTTTGCTTTAGAATTGACATAGTTTATATCTATGGTCCTGATTGCCTTGTACCTATGATTCAACTTTTTATGACATTTCTGTGTAAGACTAAATATTTATTAAGCCTAACTTACTGCATTAGGCTGGATAAATATTTAAAGTTACATATAACATTTAAAGTGTTCAAAATTCCCTTATTGCCAGTGTTATTTATTTTATCTTCTTAAATGTTTCTTAATAGGCAGACATAGATAAATAAACTAAGTTATTGCTTGTAACTTATTGCTTTCACTGTTTCCTATTTAATTAAGACAATATTCGGACTCTGTATCGATAATAATGTTGATGATGATGTAATGAAAATAATGTATTCGATTAATTGTGACCTAATTTTTATAAAAAATATTTACTTCAATAAATCAAGTTATAAACGTTCAGAATCGTTTTTAAAAACTGTGCATACACAATATGTTCATATATTGAATTAGCGGCTCACCCTCGCTTCGCTCGATCAATCGGTCGATCAACCGATCGATCAATTTATAAATGAAACCTTTTTAAATTATTTAACTTTTTCGTTAATTAATTAACGAAAAAGTACGCGTAAACGCTTTAGCGTAAAAGAACGTAGTAAACGCTTAAGCGTTTTATTAAATTAAATCATTATCATCATCATTAAATCATTAATGCTGATTTTTAAGTAAACTCGACCCTGATAATATTTTTACCCTCTCAGGAGACGAATTTCGAATAATCTGATCGATAACACACTTATTTTTTTTCTGGAATACTTAATTTTAACAATAAAAATGGCGGATTTTCTTACCAACTTTACCACCCATTTTTACCCTCTTAGGGGATGAATTGGAAAAAATGTTATAGCACGTGTTTATTTAATTGAATTGTAGATCATTAATACCATGTTTCATAGAAATTATTATCACCTATTTTACATTTTTAAAGAATAAATTTTCATAAAATACCTACTGTAAACTTTTTTCTCTGACCAAGTTCTCGTATATCAATTCTTACATTTCTAACGTCAAAGGAGACGAAGTTTCATTCAAATTTCATCCCCTATTTTAGCCCCTTAGGGAATGCATTTCCAAAAATCCCTTCTTATTGCACACTTAAGTCATTTAAGGAATATTTGTGCATTTCATGTTTCAAGATCCAGCGTTACAGTTGTGCGTTGATTGTTTAATCAGTGAATCAGTCAGCCAGTCAGTCTCTTAATTTATATATATATATATATATATATATATATATATATATATATAGATTCTAGATGGATAGAATATATTGAGATTCATGATACTGCCATAATAAATAAATTTTACTATTTTACTTTTACTGTCGGCGTGTTAAACTAAATCTTCGTGTTTATTTGATGGCTAATTAATGGGGTTAGGTTATGTTGCTAGTTACTCTGTAACTGACATAAGGTAATGTGTAAACATTTCTATATTGAGATGATAAATTAATATTAATGTGATTTTTTTATATTTTCAATAAAAAAATGAGTTGGGAGAATGTTTTGAAATCCATATCGATACTAATATTATGAATGTGAAAGTTTGTGAGGATGATTGGATGTTTGTTACTCTTTCACGTCAGAACAGCCGAACGGATCTGGATATGGCACAGAGATAATCTGGAATAGTACATTACTTTTTATCCCGGAAAAATGTACAGTTTCCGTGAGGTAGATTTGATTTTGCCTAGGGACGAACCTGAAGGGTGAGTCCCTAGTAGAATATATATACCTACATATATCCACAGTGATAGAATTTTATTTTTTTATTCACATGGTAGCGCACGCTTCACTTGAGAATGACGGTTGATGGTCGAATAATTGAAAAGGTTTGATAATAGCAGATAATTTAATCAAAATTATAGTATTATTAAGTTAATTAATAATTATAATTAAAGTATTATTAAGTTTCATAACTATCGACATTATTCTCGAGTCAAGTATCAGCTCTAAATTGAATTAAAGCTGACGCGTGCGCAGCATTGGGTAGTAGTTGTAATAGATCTTCCTATGCATTTCAATTATTTTTTATTAAAATGGGCGGATACTCAAATTATTATCTCTACCTTTCAAATTATTATGTCTTTCTTTTATAGCATTGCATGAGAAGTGAAATTTAAAAACAAAAGGCAATTTCGTAACGCGGGCGGACTCTTTTATTTATAATTTTAGATATCTATTATTCTATCATGTTACGTAAGCCATATGCATGTCTCGAAAATAATTGTATTACGAGTAGAGCATCAAAATAATTTTTGCACTAGCATTTAAACAATTAGATTATAATTCATGTTAAAAAATGGTCGGTTAATTGTTTAATTTATGTAATTGTTATTCTGCAATATAATAGAGATAAATCCAATTTTATTGTAAAGAAAATCTATATATATAAAAGAAAGTCGTGTTAGTTACTTCGCTTATAACTCAAGAACGGCTGAACCGATTTAGCTGAAAATTGGCAGGGAGGTAGTTTAGAGCCAGGAGAAGGACATAGGATACTTTTTATCCCGTTCGACCGCGTTCCAATTTTTATGATATTTTAATTTTTGGATTTCTCTTAGTCCGGAATAGGTAAGTATTAAAACATATAATTAAAATGTGAGAAAGAAAGATTTTTTCTTTTTATATCTATTTAAAACGTACCTAGCGACGAACCCGAGCGAAGCGAGGGTGAGCCGCTAGTATTTGAATAAATAAACATGATATATTTTAGTCTCACTTGATACAAATAATCTAAATTACCACAGAAACATCCACCAGAAAGTGGAATGCAATTAGATAACCACATAAACTGAGAGTAAAAGCTGGCACGCTCCCTTTTACAAGTACCTGCGTTGCTATAGTAACCGGTTTCATAATAGGTTCTACTATATTTTTTACCATTCACCTGTTCTTTGCTATAATGGTAGAAACTGGTCGTCCGCACCTCTATATATGCCATTTACAGCTCTAAAGTGCAATGACCGCAGCGGAAATATTCCCACTTTTGAAAGTTATTAAGATTTTCATGATTTCATTTTCATGTTTCAGGTTGCACCTTTATTTTTTATGGCCTCTCTTGTGGTGGCCGAGAAAAAAATCAAGTTGCAAGATATAGAAGAAGATAATTTGAGAAGTGAAAAGGAATCTCAATTAGAAAAATCGGGAGCACGATCTCTAGAGCCATCTTCTGTTAGTGCACCAGGTTTACCACTTGACTTTTTGAAAAATGGTTACTTCCAATATTACAAGGAACCTGAACAATCCCCCCAACAACAGCGTTACGTTCATCAGTATGCAGTTACTGAACAGCCTGAGAGACCGCTTGTAACACCAACGCCTCAATATGGTCCACCTGCTCCGCAACAAGCTGTGGTAGGGTATTTGTCTAATGTACCAATGCAACTATATTTATTACCTCAGTACTACAATGAGCCTTCAGAGCAAGTGGCCCATCAACAACCACATCCTGGTGTTCAGTTGCCTTCACATACTGTAGCTCAGGTTTCAGGCTATCAGGATGCAACTCACGCTCAGCAATCAGGGTATTATGAAGTGCCGGCGTACGTAACACCAACCGGAAAATCTTATATACAGCAATACACTCAACCTTTATCTTATGTTACTTACGCTAATCCCACTATACCACCAATTCAGTCTACTATCACACCAGTATTAACATATCAAATGCCTGTTGTTCATTACCCAACTGCTATTTCTGCACCTCCACCTAAGGGCTACTACCAAAGCACACAGTATCCAGACACAAATGAAGTTCAAGAAAATGAAGTGAATATTCCTAAACCATACTCTAGTCATAATGACATACACCTACCGAATCCTTCAGGGTTGGGTTATCCTAGATACTATAACTCTCGAACTCCTGTAACAGAAGGATATAGGACAGCTCCTGTTGAGCTTCCACATCCAAGTCCTCTTCTTTTAAAGGCACCACCCTCACATTTAGCTCATATTCCAAAAACTTTACCGATGTATAGACCTATAACAAAACCAGTTTATGCAACTGGAGGTGGTTTTTCATCAAGCACTTTTACACAGAGACCGAATGAGTCATTCGGAGGACCCTATAAAAGACGACCTACATCTTTATTAGATTCATACATTCCATCTAGCGTTCAGATAGAATATATGAAAAGAGGACATGTGAAAGATGCACTATCTGCATATGAAGCATTGTCGAGCGGTAGACATTTGTCTCAATCACAATCGCAAGTTTATCCTAGACACTATGAGCGAGGATTCTTACCTAATCAAATATATCATACTGCCGGTGGTGGCATTACATATGGACATCACAAAAGAGCTCCCAAACTAGATAAAATTACGAAAAAATGAGTACGAGAATGAAGAATTATTGTATAATTCGTATGTAAAAGATTTAAAATATATTTATATTAAAACTTGTGTCCATTTAAAAATATACAAATGAATTTTGTAAATAGTTAATATTAATATTTAATTGTGAGTGTACTTGTTAATTATTATATAAAAAAATTATAATGAAGCTAATTTTATTATTGTTGTTTTAATGTTGAGTGGTCAGTATTTATGTTTAGTTTTAAAATGTTTTCATTAAAAAGGATTTGTAAGTTTTATTCTAATAAATGTTTTTATGTTTTAAGTAAATAAATCAAATTAAAAAAATCTAAACTTTTTAATTCAACAAAAATTATAATTAACAATGTTTTAATATTACAAAAAAAAAGAATTAGTACCTATTTCGATGCTTTGTGCAAAATTCTTTATATTACATCTACATAAAATAATTTTACATACATATAATAAAATATGTAGTAACAAAGCGGAACTTGTATTTAAAAAAAATCTTATAAATAATGACCGTTACGTATTGTGTACAAAATATATGTAGATTCTAACATAACAGTTATTGAAATTTTTGTCTGTATGTCGGTAAGTCAGTTTGTCTGTATATCTATGTGCGTTTTACGTAAAAAAGTATCTTCTGAAAAGGAGATACTGATTTTAATTAAAGGTAGTATAGTAAAACTCATTACTCGGGTTTATATTAAGGATACCTTTTACTGGCGGATGTTTTTTCATTCACAAGGGAAAAGACAATAATTAGTTTTGTAGAGTCGTCCTTAGAAATATTATTATACTAGCGACTCACCCTCGCTTCGCTCGGGTTCGTCCCTAGGTTGATTCCTCATATAAACTTCCATCCCTATTTTCACCCCCTTAATTGATGATTTCCGGGATGAAAAGTATCCTATGTCCTTTCCAGGGTCTCAAACTATCTTCTTACCTTTCATCAAAATCGGTTCAGTACAACGTCACAAACTCACAATTCACAAACTTTACCTCTTTATAATATTAGTATAAGATTAATACATGGCTAGCGTTGGCTAAGATTATGAGATACATCAAAACATTAGTACACTACTAAAAATTGTATTGTGGTCTACAATAAGAAGCCTTAAAACACCTACAGAATAGCCTGCGATAGCACGTGTCTATCTCGGCATAAATCACAATCGCCCATAATAACTATTTTTGTCTATAAAAAATGTAGCCAGTGATGCGCCTGAGCCAAGCGAGGGTTAGGTTAGGTTAGTGAAGTACTTGTCAGTAGTGCCCGGCAACCCAATCGGGCGCGAAGCCAAGAAACGCACAGGGAGGTGGCCCACTTCGGTGGGCGGTGGGTGTGGCCCTCTTCGGAGGGCAGTGTACCATGCGGGTTGCTCCTGGTACTTCTCTGATAACAGAGTGGACTGTGGAGCAACCCCGTGGTTGTTGTGGTCTGCTTCGGCAGACCTGCCGTCGGGGCGTCGTAGTTGAATGCGTAAGCGATCCTGTGACGCCCCATTACGACGGGGGAAGGTTTTGTTGGGTTTTAGTGGGTAGTACTGGCTTTGCCGGTGAGTCCCACACCTCGTGCGTAAATGCATTTCCCAACGTTAAAAAAAAAGGTTAGTCAAGTACACACTAAAAAAAATAAAGGTATAATATACTTTATAATATAGAAATAATTTACATATTTTAAATTTTTGATTCCACAACAAGTTTTTCTAATTAATATAATATCTCAAACGGGTCTTACTACACTACCTAATAATATTACAGTTTGCTTTTTTTATTTTAACACTGATATCTGGAATTAATAGTCAGATTATTATTGGAAAATGCCTCCTAATTGAGCCTTGAGGAAGGTTCTAGATTAGCACACATTACGCTACGATCCTAAGGAGCGGAGCAATAGAGAAGTTACATTATATATTTTTTGGCCACAAAGTTATATACAAATGAAAGAATAATACATTTTAAATATATTTATATATTTTTTTGTTATTAAAAAAACAATTTTTTTAGTAATTATTAATAAAAAATTGTTAATTTTTTGATCGATATAAAACTAGGTACTTGTGATTGTTTGTAGGTGTTGTGAGTAGTTGTTGTCATTATATCCATTGAGGCTGTAAGCCAATCGCAATCATACTACTCGTATACTTTTGTAATTTCTATATTCGGATCACCATAACAAAATAGTAAAACGTCAATTAAATAATTTCGAAAGAAATTTAACCTGTATTATGCAATGACAACTTTTTTGATTTTGACAACGTAAACATATGTTTTATCATTTCGCCATGCGGTGGCTTTACTAAAGCGATATAATGACATCACTGGCGTTTGAATTTACATTAAAAAACACTATTACTCGTAATTGTAAAATTACTGAAAAATCAATTGTTATTTTTTTTTATTTTTCTTAACAATTTTCAGTAAGCTTTAAAAAAAGTAAAAAGCATGCAACTTCTCTATTACATGTATATCAAAAAAACTATGCAGACAGAGCCACGAACAAAAACTAGTACATATTACCGAATTTCTAGCTAAAAAATACAAGAGGTATTCAGTAATATAAGAATGGCCAGTGTTTTTCTCACAGCGTAATCTGTACCCTAGACTTATATCGTAAATACACAAATGTATTATACCATCATTATGTTTGAATTAATGTTTATTTGAGATAATTTAGTTCCGGCGTCTGCAAACCAGGGTCTCGAATAGATGTCGATTACTAACCTACTTTCTATGATGGAACAAGAGTGCTTTTAAATTATAGATATTATTTTTTTAACTAAATAGGCGAAGGATATTGTAGAATATAATAAGTTTGTTGAGTATCCAAGTTATATATGTTTATGTTTATTTTTTACATCTAGATGGGTACCGGCAAAATTTTAGACGTTATGTCATATTTCAATTGAGTATCTCTACTCTTGATACTTTCTTAGACTTACGCGAATATTCGACATTTTAAATAAAACTATCTTTTCGGATTATTTCGCGAATTTACTTTGACTTTTGGTTCCCGACGTTTGAATGATTTTTTTTGAGTTGAATGTTTTACAGCAATCGAGGTCACGGGAGAGACTAAGGAGTAAGGTTATAGACGTTTCAAACACATACTTGTTACAGACAGTGCCTATCCACTATTTACAAAAATGATTTCAAAAATTCAAAAATTGCAATAAAGTACCTTACAATATTTGTTGATTTTTATTTCTAAGCATTTAAAATGTTTTAATAAGTATTATAATTACTTAAATATAATGATATTATTTATTTAATTTTAGGTGCTATAATACTCATTCTCTACTCTTATTGTTTTCAATGAACTTGTTAAGAATATTAAAAATAATTTATTTAAAAATAAAACTACAAGCTTTTATTTATAAACGACTAGCGATTTACCCTCGTTTCGCTCGGGTTCATCCCTAAGTGCGTCTTAACGGTTAGTAGGTATAGAATAGATAGATCAAAAACTATTCTTATATTATATGTATACATGGGTAACATGAGTTTCCCATGGGAATGGAAAAGCTCCCGCGGTAAAAAGCAGCCTATGTCACTCTCCAGCCTTCTTACTGTATCCTCACAAAAAATCACACCGATCCGCCACTCTGTTTCGACGTGAAAAAAAGGACAGACAAACAAACAAACAGACTTTTAAATTAATAATATTAGTGTGGATTGAAGGATAAAATTAGCCTAAACTCGATACAATGGCTGCATCCGGGTTCTATAATCAGGTTCTTAACAGCTTCTTGGGATAGGTATGTACTTGGGAAATTATAACTTTCATACATTTATGGAGTTCAAACACAATTTTATTATATTACAATGTATTGTAAAAGAATTTCTATTCCCACCTTCTGCAATATCATCAGCACAACCTAACATTTTAAAAGGTACTATATTATGGTATTGTCACAGTTGGTACGCCTTTCAGCCTAATCTATTCTAATATTATAAAGAGGTAAAGTTTGTGAGATTGTGAGTTTGTGACGTTGTAGGGGTAATCTCTGGATCTGCTGAACCGATTTAGATGAAATTTGGTAAGAAGATAGCTTGAGACCCTGGAAAGGACATAGGATAGGAGGAAAACGGACATGAAAGTTTGTATTGGGAAGCAAGCTAGGGATGAACCCGAGCGAAATTAATTAAAGAAATATGTAACTACATTTTAGATTTGGAAACAGATTGATAAACCTTTTAACGAATTAATTAAAATAAAAACTTCTTAAAGGAATGATTCACGAAAAATAGAAAATTTAAAAAGTTTAAATTGCAAAAATTTGCTTCATATTTCGTTACATGGCTGTTTTTAAAATAAACGAAATCCACATTATTTTGTATAATTCTGATGTAATATAGCTATTCTAATATGTATGTATATCATTTATGTAAAATTTCTAGACGCCATCTATGAATGATCAAAGAAACTACAATGTGCAATCACTGACACGAATCTACTAAAACTTTCTATTCACAGCACATTTATTTCAAAGCACGCCTCATGTGCTTACTTTAAAGCAGTTAAAGTCAAGTTCTATAGAGGGCGTAAATTCATAACAATAATCACTTTATTTATATTTTATGACGTTAATGTTAAGAATTATAATTATTGGTTTTGTAGGAAAATGTTCAAATAATATTTTCCTCTAAGCATATTGTTTACTTATCGATCCTTAACTACATATTTTTTTAAATATTTTTTTATAATAATAATACATTGCACAGGTCACATAATACTATACTAGTCAATATACTGCAAATATTATGTTTATTGCAATTGCTGAAATTAGTTATTATAAGTTGTATTGTATTTTACATAGCCGTACTGTATATTTTATTAAATTGGTTTACAATCCAAAGAAAATTGATTTTTAAAGATGACCAAGAAAACTTCCAATGCACGCAAATTTTTAGCACTCTTAAAATTTTAATATTAGTATTATTAGTATCTTAACAATAACTGAAATTTATTTAAATTCAGAATTATAATTTTTGTTTTCAAATTAAAA